GGTGAACTTCACCTGATATCAATAAAACAAACCATACAGCAAAAATTAACCTTCTTTTCACACGTGTTTATAGGTGAGGGAAAATGATAGTAAGCTTACTATGGCATCTACGTAACAGTTATCCAGCTCTTGTTAATCCCGCGCATGAAGAAAACGTTGCATGGAGCGGACTTATAACTTTCGTAGCTTTTGGACAATGTCGGCGACGAAGTCACCAAAAGCGGCAGAAGACCGTCAAAACAAAGAAAAGATAAAACGACCCTCATGGGTTTACTGTGCTATACAAACACAGTTAGCTTTCTTTCCCAGCTCTCGGAAGTCTTCCTTGATTCTATTCATAGAAAAATCTCTTCGCTATAAATCCTTTATTGAAAGCGCAACTGAACATGGAACACAAGTCATCAAAAAACAATGCAACGCAATGTAGCGCACAACGTAATGCAAAAGTGCACTATTAGCAAACATATTTCGTTTCTCTTGGACAAGTACTGATTTTTTCACTGTTGCGTGATCCTAGTGTTGCTTGCGTGACCTGCAACTTTTTGGGGCCGATGGGAAAAAAAACATTTTTTCACCCGAAGCTGCATCTGTCAAGGAGTAGGGAAAAAACCAAACCTTTAGGAAAACAAAATACTTTTAACTTAGTAGCAAACAATAACAGGTTTGCAAAATGCCGAAGTCAAAATTTAATTACGTTGACTTTCCACGCTTTTGTACTACTCTCAACCCAGTCTTTCTCGTTGATTTGATCCTGAACGAAACCCTAATAATGGCGCAGGCTGAAACAGGAAGGCGATCGAGAATCACTATTATAGCAGTAGATCAAAGTGAATGCAGCGAGCAAGGTTTTGAATGTGAGTACGTTGTTCCATTCAGCTGTAAGAAAAAAATGTCCTTGGGTGCGTCCCATTCTATGTATTGCAGCTGAATATAACTGAAATTTGAATTCACCGCGGCTCCATATCTACCGAAAATTTTACTAGTTTTTGAGGCCTCGCACTTTTCAAAGGCTATATATTTAAACGTGGTTGAGGATAAAATCTGAAGTGCAATTTAATTTTTGAGGCCTCATACTTTTCAAAGGGTATATAATTGTACAGTTGATTTAGCGTAGCGGTGGTTTATTTATTTATTTTATTGTTGCGTGTGTGTGTGTGCGCGCGCGCGCGCGTGTGTGTGTGTGTGTGTGTGTGTGTGTGTGTGTGTGTGTGTGTGTGTGTGAGAGAGCCTATACAGTGTCTGTTTAGGTAACCCGCCTAGAATNACTTATTTATCTGGCACTGCCACTTATTTATCTAGCACTGCCACTTATTTATCTGGCACTGCCACTTATTTATCTGGCACTGCCACTTATTTATCTGGCACTGCTACTTACAACAGTGCCAGATAAATATGTAGCACTGCCACTTATTAAGAAGCAGTGCCAGATAAATCAGTAGCACTGCCACTTATTAAGTGGCAGTGCCAGATGAATAAGTGGCAGTGCCAGATAAATAAGTGGCAGTACCAGATAAATGAGTAGCACTGCCACTTATTAAGTAGCAGTGCCAGATAAATGAGCGGCACTGCCACTTATTAAGTAGCAGTGCCAGATAAATAAGCGGCAGTGCTAGATAAATAAGTAGCACTGCTTGTTACAAAAAGTGTTTTTCATCTGATATCCCTTACTGGACACCATAGAAATGTGACCAAAAATCGAACATTTTCGAAATATTGTGGCAACAGCCAAAAAATCGATTCAGCTCACTTTTCAAGTTGGGCCTTACAGTAGAACAAACCGCTGCATACTTCATTTGGCTCAATATCGATTTATTTTAGAGAAAGTCGATAATAACTGAATTCCGCCAAAATGCCGCTTTAGAAGCTCAAAATTTCAAGCAAGTGTCGGAGCGTTGCGCTACAAATTGAAATCACTTGGACCGATAAAAAGTACCAAAACTTGGAAAACAACATCAAAACATAGGTTGACAGCAATTTGAGCAATTCTTGATTGTTTATTTACACAATCTAATTGAATTTATCCGACCATCTTCCAGCTAGATTAAAAATAGGTAAAAAATAATGTATTCTCGAAAACACACGCAATAAACCAGGTGGATTGTTATTTTCATCGATTTTTCAAGACTTAAGGACGGAAAGGAACCGCTTAGAACCTTCATGAATATAGTGTCACGCCACGCAATCATGCGAAATTCAATTACGAGGCTCGTCCGCAAAATACTTTACCACGTTGCTTAAAATAAGACAGGCGTATGTTAATTTGAAAATGAAATCTTCCCCTTTATTGTGCGCAAAACTGACGATATGATTCGTATTAACTGACCTAGTTTTATACGGTGCAGTTGTGAGTAGCTCTCGATCCTACTTTCAGCTCTTGACGCTTGGAGGTCTTTTGAATAAAGAAGGTTATAGAAAGACCCCAACTAGATGGCGCAGAGGATAGTTTATAGAAGTTATATGAATATCGTGTACTTCTCAAACCTTGGAAGATCGATTGCCAACGACTGAGCAAAGAACTTGTCATTTGGGAGGTATTACAGAGTGTTTCCTAGCAATAAAATCAGTGAAAAATAATTTTCAGCTTACACGAAATTTACGCGCAGATCCCTGGCAGGTACAAGTTGTTTTAGATTTGCAAAATTGAATTTACCTCACGGGTTGCGAAGCACAAAAGAAGGAATCCAAGCTTTTTATCTTGCATTTTAAAATACAGGAGAACATGTGTTAGCTTACGAAATGTTGCACATTCCGCGAGCCTTGAAAATTGAGATGGGTCAATTACAGCCAATCTCAGCTCTCGACACCTACTTCGCAAAATGTTACCCGGGTACCGGTATGGTAGGAGTAGGTCGTTTTGATTTACTAGTTTCGAATCTCAGCGAAAAGGGATACGCCCAAGTCATCGACATGAATCGGAGAAGAACGGGGCATAACGGAGGACATGGCAATACCCCATCCAACGAGGGGATCATAAGGCGTTAGAGAATAGGGATGTTGTAGATGTAAAAATGGAAGAAATTCAAACAATTATAAGATATCACAAAGTACATTTGCGTTCTGAGAGAACTGAATTGAAAACAGAGTCGGCGACACATAATCGGACAGAGACAGATGCGGGGACAGATCAGAGACATGAGGGGTAATGCCAAAATGGTGATGTAAAAAATAAATTAGGGGGAAAACATATGTTGTCGCGATGAGTAAATGAGATAGTACTGTGAGTGAGTGTAACAATAGAATTTTGATCTTGACCCAATTTGACCCGATGTAACCAACTTATTGTTGTTTTTTTCCGGAGTATCTTGGTAATTGGACATTCGCACTCTATACACAGTTCAGTTCGTTGGTTTTGTGATTTCTGACTTTTAGCCACTTCGGGATTGCGGTCGATTTTAAAAACGATAGTTTTTCTGGCAGAAATATCTTATGAGGTTAGATCGGTGCAACAGGAGATTTTTTTTTAAGGAATATATCTTTTTTCTTTAAAGAGAGCGCTTTTTACTGTTTAAATCAGCGAACTATGGAAATCCGAAGGTATAATCTTCTCAGTTCTTGCCGTGACAGGTCGTGACACTACAAGGACTTGCTGTGACACTATTAGTGGGAGACAGCAGAAAGCAATAAACATCTCGCAATCATTTCAGAATTGTGCGCGATTTCAAACAGAAGTTTGCCTTGCAGAAATATCTCAGTAAGTGTGATAGGTGCATCGTAAAACTTACGGGAAAATTTTTTTTTAAGAAAAATAACTCTATGTTAGCGTATAGAGCGGTGTGTTTTTCGTTTGTCTCAAAGCAGTCCGATTGGCGCAATGTTTGGTGTATCTGAGGGCAATCTGATTGGTGCATTTTTTATTTTGGTGTTCCACAAAGCAATGTGATGGGCGCATTTTTTGGTGTATCACAAATCAATCAGGTTGTAGTATTTTGTATCTCGCACCAATTAGTGCGTTTATGGTAATTTGTGGTTTAACAGGTCTTCAAATTTCAGCGAATTAACGCGTGACTCGGAGAGGGCGGTTCGCGAATTAATGAAACGTATATTGGTCGTGTTGGGAAAGCAGTGGAGTTGTCATCGTTGTACGACTGTGGTTATCCTTCGTTCTGGAGGAGACTGAATGGAACATGAGAAAATGTTTAAATCAAATATTGCTTGAGATGTTGATAAAAAGATAAGTTTAATATGGAAAGTGAGCAAATAGCTTTAGCCAGTCACGATTTTGGTGGAGGGATTATGGAAAAAGGTTTTATGAAAGTGGGGTATCTATAGAACAATTAGATCAGTGGTATACAGTCACACCTTGATTATTCGGACTGCGATTATCCTGACTGCTTCTCTGATCCCATGGCTTCTATTGTTAATCAATCACATTTAAGATCCATACCAACCCTTTGCACCGGTAATAAATCTCCCTGTTGTCTTAGTTTGTAGGTATTACAAAACGTTGACTAAACACGCTCATTAATTACCCTCCTCCCCCTGCCCCACTATTTTTCTTCTCGGGTCCAGTCTCTTGCGCGCAGTACCAAATTAGGAAATTCCTCACCGGTACTGACCAGTTTAAAAGTTTGATGAGATTTAAATCTTACCTTTTATTCCCTCCTTCTAAATTTCGTTTATTTAAGTCCATCAGTCTCTCTTCTCTCTTATACTCCATGAGCGGGCTCACATAGGATTTTCATTTTCTTTCAGCGACTGAGAGATAACCGCCTCCCAGTTAGCTCAATTGGTTAGAGCGCTGGATTGTTGTGTGGGAGGTCGAGGTCGATGGTTCGAGCCCCGGCCGGACCAACACTCAAAGTCTTAAAATAACCGAAGAGAATGGGCTACCTTTCTATAATATCAAGAAATGGATAGACATTCTAGTCTTCTCGGATTAGGACGAATAAACCGTAGGTCCCGTCTCCTGCATCTATCAGTTAGTTAATTTGGTTAGGCAGGGGACGTTAAAGAACCCACTCACGAGAGTACTGTGATGTGGTCTGGCCTGTTTACCGGGAATTGGGGGGAGGGGGCATCTTCAAATAAGTTTCCTTCGATTGTTTGTAAACTGCTGATGCAGTCCGGCCAAAGTCCCCCGAAAAGTGTTGGGATGCGCATTTGATCATATCCACATGTTAATTTGCGCAATATGAATATTAAATTATTATTATTATTATTATTATTATTATTATTTCGACTCCCGCCTGTTACCCATTTCATAAATTCAATTTTCTTGAAAGATTGACGTTGTTTTCCCTTTTGCAGACAATCCAGTGGGAGACGAGAGTTGTAAGAGTGATGATTCTTCGGAAAGTAAACGTAGAATGCTTGCAGGTATTATAATTAGCAAGTAAAGAAAGTTCATACTAAGCTCACCTTTTTTTAACCTATATTATGATACATAAGACTTACTATGAAAACTCTGATTAGTGGAGAGCATTTTGTCATTAAACAATAGCGTGTGAACTCGACCTGATAACCCAATATCTGCTGCAGATATTGGATTATCAGGTCGAGTTCAAAGCCAGCCTAGTTCCGAAGCACCTCTCGTCCGTGTAGTGCTCTCAACCTTTTGCAAACTCAGAGAGGTGTGCCCTTTTGCGTCATGTTATCAAAATGTATAATAAAGCAATTATTGAATTCAATTTTCGCATGATGTCATGAATTATCAGACCTCGGCATTGATGATTTATGATATCACTCTTAACCTCATCCAATGATTGATTATTATACTTATAGTGGTAGAGTATCGGCACTCAGAATCCGAAGGTCTGAAGTTCTATTCCTGGTGAGGACTCAAATTGTTTTCTTTGTTCCACGCTTGGAGCAAAACGATGACACATAAGAAATTACTCCCTTTCTGCGTCTTCGTTGTATTTAATGAGTAGTCTCTTTTGTCTCGGTTTGTAGGTATTACAAATCGTTAATTAAAGACGCTTATTAACGCTGAACAACGTTTCGGTTTAGTCTCTTCATGTTTGATGTAAATCTTGTATGTACTAACCGAACCCCATATTATTTAAGTAGATATTTCCATGGGGTAGACGAGGAAACTAAAATTAAGCCCATCTGTAACCTTAAACCAGGCTGTTTGTAAGAGATTTTTAATCTTATATCAAAAGCCAAATGCACCTACAACCGTATACTTTCAGTCAAACCCAGCTTGAGCAATCAGGCCGCCATAATAGATTGAACATAAGAAGGAAGATTTTCAAAACAGCTGAATAAGTAGCCCACGATATATATATTGGGGCTGTAACAACCGACAAAGAAGCTTATCATTTACTGCTACCTATATCGCATGCAGATGGACATACTGTTTGCAGGATGTTCTTGATATAAAAATCTGTCAGTGTAAACTTGCAGGCAAGTGACTTGCTCCAGGCTACGGAGTGAATCAATAAAGCTAGGCGCTTTAGATACCTGACTTTCTCCATAAATTGCCCATAGGTAATAACCATTTTTTTATAATGATTCAGACTTACTCGTTTTTCTTTTTAAAGTTCAAAACATGCACTATAAAAGTAAAAAACCCCGAAGGGGAGCAGAGGGGAGGAGAGGGGAGGGGGTATTGAAACCGTTGATTTGATTTCCCTTTAATAGATTCTGATGTCATACCTTAAACCTTAACATTTCTCTGAGACTCGACCGTTGACAGTCAGCTGTAAATTGGAAATGCCATTGAAATTTTTCAGAGATAAATATTTGCGAACGATAATTTTTTTTTATCAGATCGATAGACGACATTGTGGACTTACTGAACCTTTGCCTAACGTCAACTTACTTTCAGTACAACGGTTGATACTACAAACAGTTACACTGCACTGCCATGGGGTCTCCAGTTTCTGGTGTTTACCTTTCTACGAAATTCCTGGCCGTTGCGTACCGGTTGAAAACTTTGATGAGTTTTAAGTCCTACCTTTATTACCTCCTAATAAGTTTCAATTATCCAAGTCCATCAATTTCTCTTCTCTTTTTTATTCCGTGAGCGGGCTCACATGAGATTTTCATTTTCCTCTACGGCTCATTTAGATTCCTGCTTGTTACCCATTTCTCTGATTGTTGTGAAAATTATTTTTACCTTTGAAAGAAGTTTGACTTTCTTTTTACTTTTGCAGACATTTCAGCAGGAGAAGAGAGCTGTAAACAGGATGATCGTTCAGAAAACAAACGACGAAGGCTTGCAGGTATTATAATTAGCAAGTGAGGAAAGTCTATATTTAGGTTACTTTTAATAACTCATACCATATCTATAGTGATAGAGTGTGGGAGCGCTGAATTCGTATGTCTGAGGTTCTATTACTGGTGAGTACTCAATATTTATTCTTCGCCCAACGATTGTGAAATGATAGTAAGACATCTTTACTTTTCCTTTTCCTTTTTTATACTCAAATGTTTTTCTTGTTGAAGAAGCTATACTCCGCATAAATTAAGGAGAAAAATTTACAAAGTTTTTTATTGTTACTTTGGCTACTTAATTTCTGAACATCCATGATCGATGATGGAATAAATACTAGAAATATCATCTTTTCGATTTAAGAGGATCTTCTAAGGATAGGAAAGTTAAAGAGACGAGTGTGTGCTTTTATAATGTGGAGAATAGGGATAAAATTGTATTCCATCCTGAGAGAGAAGCGGTACTCTTGATCCATTTATGCTTAAAAAAAAGAACTGCTCGAGTTCGTGTGGTATTGGAAACTTGGCGTCGTATACATTTTCATTCCTTCAATAAAAGTTTACATCTGTAATTTTCAGCACCGTTAAATGTTGAGAATTGCCAAGAGCAGCTAAAGTCGTATTATCGCACCCTCAGTAAAGTCAAAATCGTTCCATGGGAGGACAGCTCTTCCATTCAGATTGATGAGATCTACACACCTTTGAGTTGGGTCAGAGATCAAAGGAAACCCAGTGGAGTGACACAAGAGGAACTTGAAGACTACACCGACATGTTCAAGGGAAACCCAACACGAATTCTTGTTTATGGTCGGCCAGGAATTGGCAAGAGTACGTTTTGTAAAAAGGCTGCATATGACTGGTCGAAATCCTTAAAAGAAATCATGATGAACTTTTACATTTTGCTTCTGATTAAGTTGCGAGATGTTTGTGATTTGGAAGATATCCGTAAGGTTTTACGAGCGTCTAAACGGCTGGCCGGTGATGGTCCGATCTCAGTTGACAGTCTATATAATTACATAATTAATAATAAAGATAAGGTTCTTCTGATTTTGGATGGTTATGATGAATACAGCGGTGCAAAAGAACACCCACCCATCCTTAAAATTTGGAAGGGCGAGCAACTAAGAGATTGCCACATCATTGTCTCTACGCGACAGAGTAAATGTGACGAGATAAGAGGCCCCAGCCACGTTCAGTTTGAAATTAGCGGTTTCAAAAGCCGGGAACGAATCAAATCCTTTGCGAGAAAGTTTTTGGCAGGCGAGGATATTCAAGAGTTCATGTCCTACTTAAGGGAGAAAGATCTCCTCGACATAGCAGAGATACCTCTCAATCAATCGATCAATCCTTTATTTAAACACGTGACACCTAGGAGTACAGAAGTTCTCGTTAAAACATGTACGTGTATGTACAATTAGAAAGAAAACATAATTTCTGTAAGAATACAAATAATAAATAGATCTATTAAATAACTAAAAACAGGATCGAAGATCATGGACAAGAGCTATCAATAAAAAGTTACAATATTTACAATATTAACAATAACGATATTTACAATCACTATCATTAAGCCATGTGGGCTTTAAGAGAACGCTTGAATGAAACAATATCTTGAGATTCTCTGAGTCTAGGGGGTAGCGCATTCCAAAGTTTACTAGCTAAAAATGAAAAAGACCGATGTAAAAACTAAAAACAACTCCTCTACTCCTCCTACTAATGCTGTGCCTTTTGTGGAAAGAGAAACGTCATGAAGGACTGCCAACAGCACGGGCCAACATTTTCAAGCAACTTATTCAAACCATGCTAGATCACAAAGATGAAAGTCAACAGCCTATACCATTTCAGATAGTGACTTCAACAAAAGGTACAGAAGATCTTAGCAATCTTGGAAAGGTTGCCTTCGATGCACTGCTACAAGACCGTCTTTACGTACGCTGTAGCGAACTCCCCGACAGTATTTTAAGAACTTTTGAAAAACTCAGTGAAGTTGGACTTTTCCAGATTGTCAACATGACGAGTCCGAATCGCGAGAAAGGGGCCTATTTCATTCATAATTCCGTACAGGAGTTCCTTGCAGCCTGGTGGATAAAGGAGGGAGTATTGGCGATAAGAGGTAGTACCTGTTCAAAGCCAAAAAGAGATAGTAGCCTGTTCAAAGTTGAAACATTTGAAAAGATCGTCAAGTTAAGTGAAGTCCTCAAATTTGCCTGTGGGCTGTCAACAGAAGCCGCGTCCACAGTTTTCCACCTTCTTGATTCTGTTGGAAGAAAGGAATCTTTGTCGGAGATTGAATTCAGTGAGTCACTTCAGTCGACTGAAGACCTGCCTCAGGATCAACAAAAGTATCTAAAGCTTATTTCACACAGTTATTTTTGTTGCTCGGAGAAGAAGCGGCGACGTCTTTTCTCCACGTTTCTATCCCTCAGTTGTAATATCTTGCTTCTTGATCGATTCTAACCAGCTGAACATTGTGGCAAGGGATCAAGAGTTGCTGAAATATGCCTTGATGCCCAAGTTCATCTTTTTCTCTGACGAAAAAAGGAATTCAGAGAAAAGCCATGGAGACTTGATCACTGTAGCGGAATACACGAAAGCTATTGTTTTGAGCTGTTCGGGCGAAATGAAACTCGCTGTTTGTTTAAAACAGTGGCCACGTCGTCCTTTGAAAGAGTTCTTCTTGAAGAAAGAAAGAAAAATTATGCCTCATGTTTGTCAAATTAGTAAGAATTTATTTGGTGGCACTTTTCCTACTGAAATGCTGCGAGAGCTCATTTCATCAACAGCAGCTTCTACTCAGGAGAAGCACCTCGGTGATCCTTTGAATGAACATGACAACCAAACAGCTTCGTGTTCGAATGACAACACTGATAGTGTCACTGGTCGGACTCCACACAGCCTTTCCTTTCTGAGGAAAATGGATACTCTTCACACAGAAAGGCAAGAGATGGGGACGCTGGCCGATATATTTCCATTTTGCACTTCTCTGCGAGTTGTACGTATTTTTGGTAAACCCTCTAAAACCCGTGATGCTCACTTGACAGAGACCCTGGTCTCTCGTATCATTTTCACCAACAGGCTTGATAGACTATCACTTGAGAATATCAATTTGACAGCCGAACCTGCTGCAGCCATCGCCAGATCTCTGCACTAAGCTCCTAGCCTGCGCGTGCTCAGCTTGTCATATAACCCTCTTGGTAATGGTGTGAGTGTTCTCACTCGACATCTCAGCAGTGTTCCTCACCTGAAGGAGCTGTATCTTAATGATGTTAAAATGACAAAGGAACAAGTGAATGATTTGAGTACAGCTATACGTCTGAGTAACATCTGGTTGGGGACAGAATATCACGTAAGTTTTGTGATCTTAGTTTGCATTTGTAGCCATTGTTCATGTATATTCTGTTCAATTTACTGTGGCGTTGTTTCAATAATTTTTACGCCTTTGGATCGCGGAAAAGGGGTGATATTTCGGTTGCTTTAATAGAACAAGAGTAAAGTTTTTCTCGTGAAAAGTCACCGTCAGTCAGTTCAAACACTTTTTAAATGTAATTTCAAATTGCGTTGAATTCTCTCTTGCGACATGCTCAACGGTGTTCCCTTCAATTTTCATTTTGCTATTTACATCACTGTCGCTTGGTTTTTTTTGCTTCTCGCTTAATTCTGGAAAAACTTGCGAGTATGGACCACCTTGTTCTTAAGTTTCTCGGCGTTTCAAAATCCCTTTAGCATTAAGTCCGTTAAAAAAAATGAGGTTCTTTTTTAATTTATACAGAACTGAAATGACTGTAATAGACTTTACATTCTGAACTGAATGACTGAGAATGCTTCCATTCATTAAAACATTTTACATTCACACGCAACCATTTATTGTAGCAAATCAATTTTAAGTTAAGATGAGAACCCATTGTAAAGAAGCTTGTTTACGTATGAGTAAGGCTAAAGGTCTTCTTAAGCAGTTATTTTGGAAACGAGTGCTAGCTGGGACAAGCCACTAAGTAAAGTCAGTAAATATTCAGAACCCTTGTAAAGGAGACATCAGCAGTTCCTCGTTATCACATGAAATTCTGAACCTTTGCCTTGAAAGTTACCTTGTATTCTCTTCGTGGGCCCGTCAAATATGTGTAGCTGCAGGACACTAGGAAAAACGGTCACTCTTTTTTTGTTCATGTCAAATGTAATGTATATTTCTTGAACACTTTTGCTTGTTTCTTTCTAAATCTAATCAGTATAGGCGTTACCATGCATGTAAATCGGAGGATATTTAAATTTTGTTAATCCTTTTGATGTTATCTAACGACGAACTTTCATCATTTAAACGTTGTAGAATGACTCGTTCAAACGTGCTCTTTTCCAAATGTTTCTACGTGTAAATAGTAATAGGGTTAAACAAGTGTGAGTTCTGGCAAGTCCCAATTATGGCTCTTGGTTCTGGTTCTGGTGTGTGAATGTTGGTTTGTGATTTATGACAGGATGTGAAAGGGAATGTCAAGCCTGAACAGGAATGGAAAACAGATGAATTCTGGCGAAAAGAGTGGAAGGGGCTATGTGGATCAGAGGAAGAGCCAGATCCTGGGTCAGTTAATGACTCAGATGACGAGCAGGAACCCGGGTCCTGATTGGAAACGTACATGTAACTGACCATGACTGGCTTGGTATACCACCTAAAACTAAGGAAGCTGACCACTGGTCAAAACTGGCTGGCTAGAGCGGTCCATTCATCAAATTAATTTCCTTAGAGCTCTACCGTCAGAGGAGACAATTGGTTTATGGTTCTACGAGTTTGATCGGTGTAAAATAACGTTAAGGCATCTTAGTTTAGGATAACAAGTTGATGTTGTTGTTGTTTTTTTTAAATTTTAGGTATTAACAAAGATTTAGTAGTACATAGACAGGTAAAAACGAACGATATAATATCCCGACGTTTCGGCGACTTCATGACGCCATTATCAAGGGTACGAATGAAAATAAAATTAACAAATGCGAGTTCACCGAGTTTGAACCTGCAAACAGATTCTATCCGTGCTAAAGTATTTGTGTAGCTACCTCCCCTATGCAAATTAGTTGTAACTCTTGAACTCGCATTTGTTAATTTTATTTTCATTCGTACCCTTGATAATGGCGTCATGAAGTCGCCGAAACTTCGGGATATTATATCGTTCATTTTCACCTGTCTATAAATTTTAGGTGTATCACGAAATAAGTGAAAACAGACTAGCTTGTAATCAGAGGATTTTGATATATTTCGATTGTGGCTACTGTTGGATGCCCGCCAGTGTTTGTTGTAAAATTGTTTTACAGCTGCACAAAATGTGGTCCTTGTTGAGTTTTGAGCTCTAAAGTTTGCATGCTGTTGAGTTAGAAAGATCTCTTTCATGATTTTGTATTCTGTGATCTGGTATGTAATGAAAGTTTGATCCTTTTCCTTGTTGGCTGCGTCCAGATATCTTCAATTTCGTCTGAAACAGACAAGAGATCTTGACAGCAGTCATTCGGTGTTAGTATCTAAAAAGCCAAGAAAATGTAAAGATGTTCAAGATTTAGAATGAGCCTCAATCTTTAACGAATACATGACATTCAACTTACTGTTAACGAATTTAGTACGTAAGTAATTAACGTAGACCGCTGGTTTTTAACTCGTGAATTGCGCGCATGCGCAAGAGCGAGTTGTAGGTATGATATGATGAATGGCGTTCGCTCGGTTGGTCGATTCCTGTAAACTTTTTTCTATTTTGGGCTTTTGAATGCATTTGATAGCTTTTGGCGAGTGATAAACAAACGAAATGGCGACCTTTGTTCCTAAGAATAGTGTTGGGGTGAAAAAAAAGCCAATGATAATCTTGATAGAGTAAAAAAGTATACGTTTTTCTTTGAATTAAAGTTTCCCTAGTCTCCGGATATTCTTTTATCCCTTGCAGCGTATATTTCATTTATGGCGTCAATACTTCTATTTTTGAAAATGATTATTATGTCCGGAAAAGAAAAAAAAAACAAAACAAAGAAAGGAAGTTAAGCAAAACGCAACATTTACTCGAGTGCGACGGATTTGAACTACCTGCGTCGCTTCCCTGAGGACGATATCTATAGCATTGCTTTTCAACGGAAGGCCACTCTGGTACCTCATAAACTTCTCATAAAACTTTATGCAAATATTAATTTTACTTTTAAAACGCTGATATTTTGGTTATTTCAACCGCGGGCTCAAACGACTCGAGTGGCTGCTCGCCGATAGTCTGATATTGAAGTGTCGCTCACGACTAACTGCTCCTAAAGTGACTTGTTTGAGGCTTGTTTGGTGTTCCTGGAGCTGTATCGACGTTAGAAAGTGCTTCACAAGTGGGAACTGCAGTGAAATAAACTCAAGCATAAGTTAAATCAATCGATAGGCTGTTTCTTCAATGGTGTAACTCACACTGTGTATGCGTCTGTTATTAGTGTGAACATCCTTGTACTTGTTTTCATCCTCGTGCTAATAATTATCTCAGAAGTGCGAAACAGGCTTCAAGCGCAGTACTCAGTTGCAACACAAAAGCATAAACATAACAAGCTAATGCGCAGGTGGGCACAGCTGCTACATAAACATGAGCTCAAGCGCTCAGTCGATGTTATGTTAGATATGGACATGGTTTAAATCTTTCGCTTATGTTTATCCTTACGCTTATGCCAACCAAGTCTTAACTAGACAGTATAAGCATAAAAAGAAGGCAACGTTTTGATAATCTTATGCATATATGCTTATTCTTATGTCCGTGCGTTCCATTTAGCGCATAAGCTTTTACATGCCTATCCCTATGCTTGCATCGCAAGGAAATACTGAGCTCAATATTGGAACAATAGTTTTATGATAAACAAAACAGCACCCTTTTTAACTTTCTTTCCACAAACCTTTACAGTAAAATCTGGAACAGTGATTGTCTTACACTAAATCCTAATCAAGCCATATTATCTGTCTTTGAGGCCTAATTTAGTTTCACATCATATTCATAATAACCTTCGAGTAGTATACTGTAATTGAAATTGATTTAATCAGATTTGTGCCTATTTACAGTACAACCTAACCTAGATGTCGATGTCGACGAATGTCCCTTGTCTCGCTAAAGGCCCTGATCAAGTTGATGTACATCAATTACTTTCAAATGTCAATCGATTAGATCAAAGGACTACTGTACAAACAAAACATTACATAATGAATCGCTAAAACACGTGTAATTTCACGTGTAACATGTGCGAAGAATTTGACAATATTCCTCATAATGCTCATTTACCAGTCTAACGATTCATACTCTAGGATGGAAATCAAACACCCATTTCTATTGACGACACAAATTACATTGGCTTAGCCCATTCACGAGTTGGCTCACAGAGCCTTTGATTTAACAGGAAACTGCTTGTAAATATTGTATGGTGGATGCTGACGGGCAGTAAGAAACGTGTTTGCAATTGGATTTCAATTATGATTGCTTTAATTTATTTAATTTATTAGATCCGCCGACAGGCGGAGACACCCCAACAGCTTGCACCAATTACGGCGGGCTCAGTAAACCCACTCATCCCACCCCAGGGGAGGATATCCATCAGACAGTCATCTCGTGTGTGGGAAATTAACGTCTCCTACCCCAACCCTGCAGGAGACGGGACCTCCATTTGTTCGTCCCTATCCGAGAAGACTAGAATATCTAACCATTTCTTGATGTTATAGAAAGGTAGCAAATTCTTCTCAATTATGTTAAGACCTTGAGTGTTGGTCTGGTCGGGGCTCGAACCCTCGACCTCCCGCACAACAGTCCAGCGCACTATCCCTTGGGCGAACTGGGCGGCGGTTAAATGATTCCGTGCAATTAAGTTGAGTGAAAGAATGGGGACTGTGTTGAACAAGTATCTGAAATGTAAGAAGGTTTTCGGCTACTTCCAATTCATGTAGTAATGAGAAGTGAAGCGCCCATCTTTTTCTCAGTATTGTTTTGGCTGCACGTTCAAAACTGCTGAGTGAATATCATTTGAGTATTGAAGGTAAAGCATTATTTAATTTTTCTTATTTAAGGAACTACGATAATTCTCTTTCAAGCTGATGATATTATGGGAATATACAAGAGAGAAAATTAACCTTATTTACTAATTACATATACATTTACTGGGTATATTGAGTTATTCAAGGCA